ACAATATTTCGGCTGGCCATACCAGCCTTCTTCAGGTTTACAGATGTTACTGAACTTATGTAGCAATCACAATATTATATAGATGGAGAATGTCGCAATAAAAGGGAGAGGCGGAAATGACGGACAACATAAAAACCTGAAAGGAAAAATACTAAGGATATGGATTACAATAATTCGTCAAGGCGGTTTAGGCCATGAGGTTCAAGAGTCATGGCCTTATCTATGAAATGCGACTCCCTGGCCTTACGAACTGAGTCACGTGAAGAATGAATTTTCTCTGGTGGGATTAACTGAATGTCAGTATGTGAATGGTTAGAGTGAGAGAGAAAGTGTTCAGAAACAGTAGTGGGTTTAGATTTAATGTTAGTTTTGTCGACTGCACGTCTGTGTTCGTTAAATCTGTCCTTGAGACGCCGCTTAGTTTCACCTATATATTGGAAATTACAACGGTTACATTGAACCATGTAGATCACATTTTTAGTGTTACAAGTAATGTGTGAAGTGATGGAGCGTGTTTCACCTGTAGCGAAAAAGGTATAACTTGTGAGGCCGTTAGTAATGTATGGACAAGTGGCACAATTCTGTCCACAGAATTGCAGCATCTTCGTCCACGGTTTTTGCAGTTAATTTATAATCAATTTTTGATACCCCGTTCTAGAATTCGCCCTAAAGCGGATACCCCGCTCTAGAAATGGGCCAATTTTTTGCACTCCGTTCTAGAAAGTTTGTAAATTGAAATAGCCCTGTTTTTTTAAAAAATATATTTTTTTATTTGTTTGACTTATATACATCAAATAAATGCTTCTTCATAATCATCCGGAGTACGTTTCCTGTGCATGTGGATCCAATGCGGTTAACTATGGCGCAAAATCTCTCACCCATCTCTCACCACGCAAAGAACCACGCTCGTAAGTTAACGATTTTCCTTCTCCTCCCCCGTCCCTTTCTTTTGAGCCCGTCTCCATTTTCCCACGGTTACTATATGGACTCGCTCCAGACTTCTGCGCGCCTATTTATCCAAGATGGCGGAGTCAGTTTACTGTTTTTTTGGCTTTATTGTGTAACCACTGTTACTCCTTTCATAGAACGAAGTGAAAGGAGTACAGTGGTTACGCAATAAAGCCAAAAAAACAGTAAACGACAATCAAATACCAAAATGCAGTGGAATACATTGCAGGTAAGTCTTTTTTATTCATTTCATTTAAGAAAAAGTAAGGTTTAGCGTTAGCGTTCGCAGATTTCGGTAATATATTTCTCATACAAAGTCTCATATTTTCAACGGTCGCCTGTAACCCGACACCGACGCGTCACCTATAGTATGTAAATTACATTATACCCTTCCCTCGTAACGTGAGTTTGGGTCGCCTGTGTCCAATCGAGCCTTTGTGCCGGACTTCGATGAACGTCTGGCTTTCGTCCAGTACCTACTATGACCACCGTTACGCTTACCAACTAATTAGCATTATGACCATTAGCACTTACACGACGGGTGCAAGGGCGAAAATGACACGTTAAGCAGGCTCTTGCACTGTGAAAAAGTGAGTCCTTGCACCCGTCGGCGTCGCCAGCGAATAATGTGAACAGAACTACCAGCCATTAGGCATCTGAAGAGGTATTGGTACATTACATATTGGTACTGTAGAAGCGAGGATTCGAGTATCGAAAAATAGGAAGTTGGACTGAAAAAGCCAGAGGAAATGTCGAGGCGCATTGATTTACATGCAGGTCGACGATAGACTGCAAATTCTGCACTGCAAGATCGTCTGTCTTAACATTTGGCCACGCATTGGTGAAACAGGAGGCAAGAGCCATCAGGATGTTTTAACACTTCAAGTGTGTTAAAATAAATATAATAGGAAGATCGGACGCCGTCACTAGAAGAAAAAGAAGCGAGAAAAATGCAAGCTCTCGACAGTTATAAATGTAACGTTCGGAGTAAGACAGCTGATACCTTGCAGTATATACCTTAAAAGGTACTGACACGACTTCTATTGTTTCGTCCCGATAAAATACAGAAGCCCTTTAAGAACAGACTCTAGCCGCTAACTGTACCGAATAAATATATCTAAGTTACTGCTTGACTGACACGTGCGAGGCCGGATTTCTAAACACTGTGCCAGCAGACTAATTACGTGTGAGAACAGTTACAGCGCTAGCTGTACGGTCTGCTTATATCGTAAACCAAGCGACTGACATGAGTGTTACAGAGCATTGTTTGCCTTTGCCAACTTTGATAATAAAGATTTAACAGCATCTTTTGGTGTGGGAGAGATTAGGAAATTTGAAAACTAAGCCTCCGGTTGTGATTTTCCAGATTTTTTGGCGCAGACAAAGGCTCCATTATCCTGGTACCTCACCAGGGTGTGAGGAGGTAAAAGGACAGGGTTGGGAGGAAAGGAACCGAAGCGCTATCCCAGCTAAAGTCAAAGGTGGAAAGACTCCTGGGCGACGTCCAAAGGATTCTTTCAGGTAGACCAGGTGAGAAATGTCCAGCGGCAGCCTTGACCTTCAAAAGGGGTGTCAAACTGAGACCAATAAAGCGAGGTAAGGAGAGCCCCTTTCTCGAGCTTACTCTAAACAGGAAGAAACAGCATGCAAGTAGTGGCGCCGAGGAGGGGGGGCGTCCATAAGATTATCTTCTGAAGGAACATGCAACAAGGACAGGGCAATAAAAAGTTACCATGTTAGATAACTGACTAAAGGTGAGACCGAGAGAGCTTTCCTCAGCTGTCCGCACCTTGATTTGTCCAGGTGCGAACTAGCAGAAGACTATACACGCAGGTATCAACTTGGTATCGAGGCCAGAAGCGACTTAACACTATCCAAGAGGCTCGAAAGCGGGGGGTGCTCAAACCAGTACTGTCACGCACTTCAATGGAATTTCCGCTTTTAACAGGGAAATCACACTACCCCATCCCGAAATTTAACACATCACAAAAAGGGACCGTTAGTTCTAGTTACATGCTCCTCTTTAAAAAAGGGGAGACACCTTACCAGATATCCACAAATCTCTAATATAGAATACCCCTCAGAAGGACGGCAGAAACATTAATGGACTTACAGGGAGCTTGACGAGATGGCAAGATGACGAGGCACGGGTGTAAAGTAAAGCTGCGAGAACAAGGTGGTTTTTCCTGCGAGCCGTTACAAGCTTCCGAGATCCACAGTAGTCCTGAGACAGAATAAATGACACCCATAAGGCCTTCAGCTTGAGCTTCTCGTCTCCTGGAAGGACGAACACTAATGAAAGGGAGTACAGCCAGAAAGGTAGAACCAAACAACCGACGCACAAGTAGGGGCGGAGGACGACTTTCTGGAAGGTTCAGCGCCTTGTGCGACCATAACCTGGCCTGCACGAACAATTACTGAAGTATGAGGAATGGTTAACTCCTGACCAAGAATTATAATGAAAATAGTGGTCAATAAACAAGTTGTGTGACACGCACAGGCACTATCGATCCTCCCAGCCGAGGGAGAGGGTGCTATACACGAAATGACAACTTTTTCCTTTAAAGCTGGACGTAGAAAGACAAATATGAACCTAACCACTGATGACATCACGAACGCTCTTATAGCGGCCACGAATAAGGTATCTAGGA